CAAACTGCTGAAAAAGTTAATGCTGGTTCGGTGTATTTACCATTAACCATAGACAGATGGCCATTTTGGATCAGACCTCTAGCTAATCTAACAGTAAATATTAGTTAAAGAAACCTAAAATCACAGATTATTACCGTGGTCAAGTGCTTTACTTTGTCTCTGTGAGTCACAGTGAACTCTGCCAGCAGGAGATAACTGGACCTACAGATTATTATTAGCCCGTATTCCTCACATGTACCTCAACTGTAGGATCAGTTTCCAAAAGGGATCATGGCAGCCATTGATTTGTCTTGAAGCTGTTGACATGGTTTCTCAAGGCCAGTCCTGAATGTTCTCTTGTGACCTTGACGTGAATAAAAAGGAAGACACTCCAACAACTCATGTCTCTTTTAATAACAGCTGTGTGGCTCAAAAGCCCCTGGGCTTGAAGTGTTGAGTCCAAGGTTGACTCACCCTTGCTCATACATTTTCTTTGACCCATCAGTGGCGTGGTATAAGGATGGTTATATTTGTTGGTTGTCCATTCAGCATTTTGGTTTAAGCTGAGCAAGTACTGCCCAGATTGCCATAAAACAAAATCAAAAAGATATTCAGTGTCCTCGTATGATGTTCCTGATGATTTTGTGACCTCTCCTTACCTATAGTACAGGTAGGACAAAATATTCCTGTAATCAATACTGTTTTAACTGATATTGTGACTGACTTGCACAAACTTGCTGCACAACCAGGCTCTTACTAGCTTGCGTGTCTTAGGGCATAAAAACATTTTAATAGCCATCAATTATACTCTGATGTAATGTAGATTTTTAATAGAATGACTCTAAATCAGTTCCATTGAAATCAACCCCTGGCTGCTTCGGTGACTCATTCATGTCATGAACAAAAGGTCAACGTCTCATTTAGCTTTGTACTGTATGTACACTTGATAAACGTATTTGCCTACTTGCGCAATTTGCATATCATATGTATGTTATTTTACCTATCATACAGTACATTGTAACAGTTGTTGTAAAAAATGCTATGTACTTAAGGAAATAACTACTGTATATGTCCTTTTTTATTGTGAGAAGACAGAGACAGTAGCCCTAAGTTTAGTCTTGCTTTGAATATTTCCCCTCTCTCCAGGTCAGGATGCAGTCTTCCAACCACCGACTGCGAGATATGGAGCAGCACCACCCACTGCTGTCGGCAGGGGCAGATGTCGAGACAGGGAGTCTGGCAGCCGGAGTGATGGTCGGGGGTCCCCACGCAAGCCACACAGCTGGAAACCGCACACTGTGGTTCATTCAGGACAGCTGTGGGATGGTGTGTGCGAGCATGACCTGGTTCCTGGTGCTCTACGCTGAATTCGTGGTGAACTTTGTCATGCTGCTGCCCAGCAAGAGCTTCTGGTACTCTCTGCTGAACGGGGCCACCTTCAACTCCTTGGCTGTGCTTGCATTGGCCTCGCATCTGCGCACCATGTTGACTGACCCGGTAAGGAGGTTAGGCAGAGTAAGAGTGGGCAAGGTTGAGGATTTAAGGTGGAGGAAAGGAAGGGGGGCAAGAGAAGGAACGCAGGGTTTGAAAGTAAAGAAGGGATAGAGAAAACTAACAAATTGTGTTTTGTGTAAGGAATCATCTTCTGATTCTGATTTAGCAGCCTACCAAACTGGGACAGAACGTCTTCTTTTTTAAATTAATTTGCTAATCTGAGAACAAAATGTTTTTGTTTTACCAAATATTAAAGGTGCTGGAACAAATTAAGGATTTTAGTGCACATCTGAACAGCTTTGAATGATTTCCAGTTTAAGAGTAGTCACAAACATCTCGTCTTATGTGAAGCTTTTTGATAATTTCATACGATCAATAAATTGGTATGCCTTAACCTACTGCAGTGTGTGATGCCACAGGGATTCTTCAGCACTTTGTTACTGATACTTTGTGACTACGCTCGGTGAATTCAGACAATTCATGCTTCAGGGGGTTGTAGGTCAAATATTGTTAGTGCTGCTGCTGCAACGTTGACTCATTCAAAGTAGATGTGTGATGACAGCTCCACTGGTGCTTTCTAGCCCAACAGCCCAGCCTTAACAATTGCTCTACTTAAAAGCCCAAAATAGTACACAGAAGGCTGTGCAGTAGTGTGTCAAACTGGGGTTTCAACTGAGCTTCAAAGGTGTATTTGTGTATTTCATCTTAAGGGGTAGTTACACCCGATTGTGATTCACAAAAAAAAACTTTATTGTCGCTCCCAGACCAGAAGAAATGCTTATTATGTAACATACAGTATGGGTACATAAAATAAAAAGGCCATCTCTCAAAAGAAAATGTAGGGTATGGTCCATACCCTACATTTTCTCAGGCGAAAAAAATAACCAGCAGAATCAATGTATATTGCAAATTCAGTCAAAATCAAACATCCAATATTACTTAACTCCCAAAGATGAGTTATTATTGGAACAGTGTGTACAAGTAGGTTCTTTTTAAGCCTATTTCACACGCCTCGAAACATAAAAACAATGGTTAAATTGCTGCATACAAAAGACACACAGTTTGACTTCTGAGCCCTAATGGCATAATGCATTTATTTTGAGATTTATGACTTTTGTCTTTGTCTGTCTTCAATCTTTTAGGGTGCAGTTCCTAAGGGCAATGCAACCAAGGAGTACATGGAGAGCTTACAGCTGAAGCCTGGTGAGGTCATCTACAAGTGCCCAAAGTGCTGCAGCATCAAGCCGGAGAGGGCACACCACTGCAGGTCAGTCTAAATGTTGTCAGTTTTACACAGATTTAAATTGTGACACGCTCCTTTACCCCAGCTGCGCTTTTGAAATCTGTGTATGCATATTTTGTCTAAACTGAACCGGTGTAGTTAATGACATTAGCAGAGTCAGTGACTAATATCTTCTTCCTCCTGCCTGCAGTATTTGTAAAAGATGCATCCGGAAGATGGATCACCATTGTCCCTGGGTCAATAACTGCGTGGGAGAAAAGAATCAGAGATTCTTTGTACTTTTCACTGTAAGTACACACACAAGTACTCATGGAGTAGTCCATTTAATTTTAACAAGGGGCTTGGTAAGGATTAGAAATGTATAATTTTTCATTATAATAAATAAATAAACACGTTTACATTATCTCACTAAAGTGGCATCTCAACTCTTCTGTACTTTCTTCACACTTTTTTTCCATTAACATGATTAAAATTGAATAATTACTTAAATTATATGGCTTTATATCATGTATAGGAGGACAAACGGGCAGAATTCCCATCTCTTGTTGAAAATTGGCCCTGTAGTATTTTATATTGAAATAACCAGCTGAGGTTCACAGCTCGGCAGCGATGTTGTGAACACTACACACCGGCCTGCATGACATACTGTCATAGTACTGTCATACTGTCAGCACTTTTTCATGGCTTCATATGCTGACTGGAACTTTTTTGATTACAGAAACATAAAGCTGTCATTTATGCCTGAACAACACATGGTCACCTATGTGATAAAATGTTTAGTCTGATCTCTTTACAGATATATGCTCTTTGAAGAATTTAACAGTAAAAAAAATCAACCTTGTGGGATAAAAATGGAATGGCTTTCTTTTTGTCACCTTTTCTCATTATCCATGTCCCCTCTTTTCTGTTCTTCGTTCTGCAGATGTACATAGCATTGATTTCTGCCCATGCCCTGGGCCTCAGTGGTATGCACTTCTTCACCTGTATTAAAGTCCAGTGGAACGGTAAGGCCCCTCTCTGTCTTGCAGCATTGACTATGACATGTGTTTGAGTCAAAAATACCAACACAGAATGTCAGAGAATTGATTGGTGAGTCAGAAATACAGCTATTTATACAAGAGATTGAAACCGCCACGAGAGACGAAGATAGACAGACAAGCAGAAAGGAAAAAAGACTGTGTGTTGTAAGAACAGCTGCTCTGCACAGGTCATCACAGACCTGCATTGATCTTTTCCAGCTCCCTTGTGGGTCTCTCTGTAGGAATAAACCGGAAAATGAAGATAATATTTTATCCGAAGAGCTCCAGCTTCCACCACCCTCTACAACATGATACTCTGACTTAGCAAGGAAATATTTTACAGCAGCTTGTTTTCCATGCTAACCAGTTTTACCAGGCTACTGTGACGGGTGCAAAACAGCAGTCAAGTTTACACCAGGGCTCGTCCTTAGCTGCAAACCTTTTATTTAGTTTTCCAGCTAGTTAGTATCAGGTAACAGAACAGAATCAGGTTCCCTTAAAGGGAAGGAATATTAACCTTTGGCATCTCTCCTCTTCAAAGTGCATTGTTAATGAAGTTGGTATTTCAGTTGTTTTGTGCAAAATAAACACCACCTTTCTTCCTCTCTTGCTGTGACTAGAGTGCAGCGACTTCTCTCCAGGGGTATCTGTGCTTCTGCTGATCTTCCTCTGTCTCGAAGCCATCCTCTTCCTCACTTTCACAGCTGTAATGTTTGGTACGCAGATCCACTCCATCTGCAATGATGAGACGGTCAGTATCCACTGCAAACTTTGTTCCTCTCAACAAGTTGTGCGTGTGGCAGGGAGGGTCACTGTAACATGAATAGTTTAATACATTGTTTTCTCAGATTAGGAAACAAAGTATCAGTATAATACCCTATGTTTTTTTTTTTTATTCCTCTGGTTTTAATGTAATTGTGTATCTTAGCATGCTAGTGAGCCAAAGCAAACAGACAACTTAAAGAGGAATCTTTTATTTACAGAGGGGTTTGAATGTCTTGCAGGAGATTGAACGTCTTAAGAACGAGAAGCCGACATGGGAGCGTCGCATGAGATGGGATGGAATGAAAACGGTGTTCGGGGGTCCGCCCTCCCTGCTGTGGTGCAATCCATTCACAGGCCTGCGTCTGCGGCGCTTACTGCTGTTGACCCACGGTCGGCGTGGCGGGCCTGAGTTTTCTGTCTGAGAGAAGGGCAGGCCGATGCAGTTCACCAACACTTGACTGTCTCTAAAGCAAGATTTCTTATATGCCCACTGGCCGGGGCTTAGATAGACCTCTGCTCCTCGAGGCTGTCCTTCATTTGTGGGTGACAGGGGGAGACGAGCTGCTCCAGTGGGACCCCAGTGCATCACAACCCCCACTGAACGTTTGTATTCTCACATGCTGATGTAGACCCAACACCTTTGGTCAGCACAAGTATGCTGAACAACTGGAATATTGTTTTTTAACATGAGCAGCTTTTTGGTTTGTTTGTGTGTTTTTAGGTAAAGCATGCAGTATGTAACTCAAGTGAGTCTTTTATTCCTTGTGAGACTGTCCAAGGTGCCGTTTGACCTCAACTCATGCACCAGTACACAACTTCAACAGTTTGTTCTCTTTGCTGCACACATGAGATTCAAGATTAGTGTTTGAATTTTTGGAGGGGTGGATCAGCAACATATCTCTCATAATCACTGGACCCAGACAACTGGATCTCAATGGGGAAATGCTTGAAACTGCTCTGTTGGACCCAGACAGGGGAATCACAGTCAAGGACATGCACTACTTACATGGCCCTTGAGTAAAGGTCTGGGTATTGAGCACAGTGGACATCAGACATGGAACTGTGCTGCCTTGATTTGCATGTATAACAGCTCAATCAGTCCACATCTCAGCCAGAAAATCAGGCTTTCACTATCCTCAAATGAATGGACAGGCTACAGTGAACACAAGCCTCATTCTTATTCAAGAGGACTGAGTGGCTTTTCCCGTTCATCTGTTCCTCTCATTTGTCATGTTTGGTCCCTCCTTTGGCTGAAATTGTTGATTGTTTAGGTTACTTGGGCCAGTAGAAATTCATTTTCTTTTCTTTTCTTTTTTCATAACTGCTGAAGCTTCTCTACCTTTCATCAGAGTGACTGCTTCTCAACAGCTGGCCGTTATCATTCACTGGAGATGACTGCTGTAAATCCGACTCTTCATTGGATAATTACAAATCACTGTTTTGAATTAGTTTTATGTATGTGTACATAAATTTGCCATTCCGCCACTCCTACATGCTGCTCCACATATCATTCTCGACAAACAATCAGTGACCCCACAGACCACGGATATGCCTCCCAGTGTTCTCATAACAAAGTGATTCAGGTGGAACAACTTTGGCTGCTGAAAAGGCAGAATGTTATTAAGTTTGAATTGTTTTACTCATACATATCGGAGGCTACTTCTGTGTATAGTAGGAATCCATATGCAACAACAGCTGGATAAGACTTCATAGCATTTACACTCTGAAAAACAAGCTTACAACCCCTCCCCGAGACGGAGCCAAGTCTCAGACATGGTGGCTTTGTATTCTCCTTGGCCACCGTGTGGTGCCACATTTTGAAAAGGAGAACTTAAAACACTAGCACAACCTCCTTTGGCTCATTGTGAGCTCATTCTGATCCACAGAGCCAAGCTCCATTGTGCAGTCAGCCTGTAGAATTGAAAAGGAACTGCTTAGCCGAGGTACCAGGCTCATTATACAAGCTTTAATACTGAACAAAGTCTCGGGGAGCTCGGCAGATGCTTGCGAGGCCTTTCCTACTTCACTCCAGAAATGTCAGGCCTGTAACATCTTGTGGCAGGGCAGTAGCAAATACTATCTCAGTGTTATTAGAACACGTATCCACGCCTTTTAAAATCATTGAGTCAAGTACATTTATCAGTTTCAAAGGTTTGTGTCATCATTGCCATATTAATGTGTTTTCTCATTTTGTGACAACTCGTCTCCTATTTTTACATAATCAGTGGGCCTGTTTGCACTGGATGAATGTGGCTTTTTGAATCTAGAGTTCAGTTTGACTGGCGGGCTGGTATTATCAAAGTATTTTCAAATCTAGATTCTCTAAGTCTCATTTTATTGCTTGTTGGACAATATACTACTGTTTGTTCTCATCTGTGGTTGTCAGGAGAATCTCCACTGTTTACACTAAATGATGATACCTGATGCTCTATGGCTATAAAGTTTAAGGAACATGCTATCATTAGAATGTAAAATATATCTATTTTGGGACTAAGGGACACAGCACTAAAAGCTAACTGATATCAGGGGATTTTATTAATGCTGGCCTCTCATTTCTCATTTTATTCTGCTGGACTGCATCACCTCAGCAACAGTTTTCTGAATAAATGTAGGGGGACTGTGATTTTCCCTTGAATTCCATAATTCTAACATGCTCAGTGTACTTTTTAATTTATGGAGATGCAAAATGTCAAAGTCAAGTTTAGCCAAACACACAGCGTGTTCATAAAGATTATATACAAGCTGTCTTTCATTTATACATGTGCATAAGACTAATCAGAAAACAGGAACACCCATGCTGTGTAGTTTGGCAGATGCATAAAATATGTTGCTATTTAAGCAACAATTACTAAAAATAATTGCAGGTATTGGTGGCAAAATTACACCCAGAGCCAATAAGAGGCCTAGAGTCTAATAAACAAAAAATGCCATTAGAGTAGAAGCAAATATCTGAAGCAAGACTTGAGGTAAGAGTGCCAGGACTACAGTGCTAAACCTTTACTTGTATGTGTAGGAAGTAGCAGAACAACAGAGCTAATTATGGATTGACAATTATTGCTGTGTTGACTGAGTATAAGCATTTGATGTCGACTGGTATAATTTGGTTTGATGTATTTCACAATAGGTACGTCCTGTTTCATGACCAAACTCGGATGCTGTGGATCTTAATGTCTTAAATTAGGATTCTGTTACAGGGTATATAGTTTTACATTCATGCTTAACAATAGAATCAGTGAATAGTGGGAGAAGATTGCTTGACAATGTGCACAATTGAGTAAAGTCTATCAAAGGTTTTTCTCATACTTTGCAGTTAAAGAGGATTTATGTAGAAAATATAGGACAAAGAACAGTTTGTGAAATATAGTAATGATTCTTAACAGGACGGATGTTTGACTCAGAATTACCATTAACATTGTCATGAACAGCTGAGAAAGGTTTTGTTTCCTCCTCTCCTGAGAGAATGTTTCCTCAAGAACAAAAGTCCTTCAGCTTTATAAACAAAGTATAAAGGTTACTATTAACAATATATAAATGGAATGTTTTATTACTTTTTTTTTATTAATGTGTCAATCTTATAATGTCATATCTTTAATGTCATTCTTTTACATAATAAACTTGATTAAATTAAAGCTATACATTGTGATTGACTGACCATCATATAAAACTACCTTTCTCTGTTCCTGGATAACAAGGAAAGTGTTTCCACAGAACATGCTGCAGATCTGCTAGAGTCAGAGCAGTTCGCCTCGATGGTTGGATAGAAATTAAGATGCAACTGAAATTGGGAACTAAGTATTTCAGCAGCATCAAAGAAAAAGGGATCCAGTAAAGAAATTACATATTTTCTGAACTAAATGTGATGCATGTGCCCTCCTCAGTAACAAATTACTTAATTATTTCAGGTTTACAATTATGACCATTGGAAGTTGTTTGAATATCAGCCCACTGACAAAATGCTACATCCCTCCCAAGATACAGGCACTCTATTGAGTAGGAGATGTGCACAAAAATGTAAACAAAGGCAACAATTTCAACACTGGAACATTACAAACATGAAGTGTGTATGAGGATATTACAGCAATATGAGGGTGTGGTGAGTTGGCAGTGGTAAGTAAACACAGCTTACTTAAAAGGTGCCGGATATGTGTAATGATATGAAATAATTGTAACTTAAGGTAATAGGAAATGCACAACCAAAACTTTTGAAAAGAAGTACCTTTTTGAAAAGCAGAAGTGCTGTAACGATACGTCCTTCAGTCCTGTGGGTGGCAGTGTAATGTTTTCTGATGGTGTGAGATCGGCCTATGAAGTCAGAGAAGAAGCTTATTGTAAAATTATTTTCCCTGCACTAGGACTCCCAGGCAGCCGTTTTGTTTTTCAATTTTTGTCTCATTCAGTTAGATTTGGAAGTTTTTATTATGCTTCATTTCAATTTTGACCCTTAACCTAACGTTATGTCTGTATGGTTAATCTACGTGTTTGAACAGACCTGGAATGCCTTAAACACTAAACTCAGGGAAGTTAAACCCTCGCCTTTTCCCCGCCCTTGAGCCTCACTGAGAGGAGACATCAACTCCCTGCTGCTTCCGTTGACATGGTGTGAATATGGCGGCAAAGGAAAGTGTAAACAGCAACCAAAGTGATGTCGAATATGTAGTAAACCGCTGGGTAGTGGATTATTATTTGAGTCTTGCGCTGGAGTTGTTTCAAAAGCAGCAATACGAGGACTTCCGCGGCATTAGAGATGTCCTCAACAGTGAGTCTCCCAGTTCTTCACTTCTTGTCCATGAAGCTAGTTCAGACTTTGTCTAGCTAGCTCATTGTGTCCGACCAAGTTTGGTTACTGAACTGTTTCGTTTACTGCATGTTTAATCTCTTCAAATGTCAGTTTTGAATTGTGGCTGATAGCTAGCGTTAGCCTAGCCTTTTAATGTTAATTAACGTGGCTGTGCGGAGGACATAGAAAGGCTGCAGCAGGTGGGTTGAATGCAGTAGTCGACATGAAGACCACAGTGGAAAGTCGGCGAACGACTCGGTGAAATACTCACGTACCTTCTCTCTGACTGCTAGGTTTGTTTGTTTTGTTTGTTTTGTTTTTTTCAGAGGAAATGTGAAGCTCATCCATTGTCTTCTTTCAGGTGTCATCATGGTTCGTCCTTTCGAGTCCACTGATTCCATGACAACAAAGTTGGGAGTGTTGAAGTTTCTCTCCCGGATAAATGAGGGTGAAAGTCCTGGTGAGATCAACATTAATACATTAACACTCTTACATTTAACCTGCAGAAACCTGCAGAAACCCGAAACAAACAAACAAACAAGCAATCATGGCAGGTACTCTCTGTAACTTTGTTAACAATGTGTATTGTTAGGGATTTAATTTAGATGCATAATGTGTACAATTTTCTGTCTGTGCCTATTAGAAAACATTAAGATAAGCTCTGTGAGAGAGATTTCCACCTAATGCCTGATGTGAAATGATGTCTGTCCTTTCAACCCAACTGTAAAACTCATGTAATCCGTCTGGAGCATACATCCAGTCCGAGTGTCTTAATCAGATTCAAACACTACAATGAACACTGCTTTGTCTCTGCTTACAGAACTGTTATTTGAGTCCGACCAAACATTAAGTCCTCTGGAATCAGCCTTCATTTTGCTGGAAGTAATCAACCAGGAATGCACAATTCCACAGCAGGACTTAGAGGATGTACGCACTTCACTTAAAGAGATGGTAAGTGTTTTTTGTTTTTCTTGTTATTATTTACATTCATGTTTTAACATTGGTTCAACTCTCAACTTTTTGCAGACCTAGTGTCCATCTCACCCTGTCTGGCCTAGGACAAACCGGCTCACGCCACCCAAGTGCCTAACAAAGGAAGAAGCTAGACTTGTTTAAAGATACTTTCATGTTTCATCAGGTTTTGATTAAACAAATTGTTTTTTAATCTCTGTCTTTAGATGGTGGTGATTTTCATCAAGAACAATAACTTTGCAAAAGCAAAAGAGGTGCTGAACAAATACTTTCCCAAAACAATGGTTGGCAAGGTGAGTTCAGTAACGAAAGCAGTATGTTTACTCAGTAACTCCATCATTTCCATGAGTCAAATCAGCATTTAAAGGACCAGTGTAGTTGTGTATAACATGGCGATGCAACTCTGTGGACCGCTCCCGCCACAGATAAAAACAGCTAACAAAAAGAATTCTTATTTTAAGGAGATTATACACTAATGAAAACATAATTATTAATATTATTACATTTCTACCATATTCTGCCAATAGATAGATTCAAACAGAAATTTAAAGTTGTATCCACATGTCTCATTTTGAGAAGTTGTTTCGAACCGGTCTGCTTCCAAGCTGACGCTGGAGCAGTTCGTTTGTGGTGTGAAAGAAAACAAATCAACCACAGAATTTTATGATAGCAAATATGTGATTTTAGCACAATTTCAAAAGGTTAACTACAAATAAATCCATCTACTGATCATGAAATCTGAATTGATCTGCCTAAGCCTTGTATATTTATGCAAATCATTTAGTGACAATTGGCAGAACTGTCCAATCAATGAGTTACCTGACTGTTTGTGTAACTTCATGTTTACTCTTCATATGGTCACTGGTCTTGCTCATTGTTATAGAAAGATTGCAGCATCCATTGTGAGCAAAAGTGTTGTGTATTGAATCATCCACATAGCAATATTAAAATTAATAAAGGTTATAGTAAATTATAAGCATACTTTGAGTAGTGGTTTAATTGTCTGCATCCCATGTGTTTCACATTACTGAATGTCTGTTCTCTGTAGAAAGCTATATTCATGGAACTCATCAATCAGAAGAGTAAAGCACATGAAGTCATCGAGCAAATTGACTTCCAGCGGTTCAAAGTGGAGATGTTTGCCTTTTGCCAGAAGATCTGCTCATTCAGTGTTCCCTTTCTTCACAAGGTGTGTTGCTTGTTGCTATTGAAGCTTTTCTTTATGTTGAGGTATTTCAGCTGCAACTGAGCATGGATGGTTGGATATTAAAAGTCTGGGTTTGATATTGTATTCCCCTTTGAAGCTGATTTGTCAACAGCACTAATTGTCTGATTACAACAAAAGGTTTTTATAAGTGTATGTAATTATTACTTAATCATGAGTCTTAAGACGTTGAAAGCCTCCCCTGTGAGGACCTTAACATTTGTTCAGCCAATCCACAGATACACTGTTAATTTGTTGGTGAAGTACGTGTCATTATACTTGTTTGTGTTTTTGGTTTGTGTGTGTGTAACAGGCTGCAGAACAGCTTATTGATAAAAGACTTGCGGTGCCAGACGACAATGCAGCTGGACCTGACGGGCAAGACAAAGCTGGCCCGTCCACGAGTCCACAGATCAACATCATCCAGTTTGTACCTCTGTTCATTTGAAACATGCTCATTATTCCAAAACTGTCAGAGCAGCATGGTCTAATAAGTCACGTAACATCGTATGACACACTCTCCTCCCCTCTCATCGTGGGACTGCAAACGGGCCACTTTGTCATTCTGCCTTTATCGGAAGCATCTGATACCCACCATAAGCAGCTACTGTTAACTACATTTAGCATCCATATAACCACATATTTACTTTAGTCACAATATCCAAGAACATGTCTGCAGGCTAGAATTGTTTCAGTACAATTTGGATCTGAACCTTTCCTATCCTAAGCTCTTATTCTCTGGCCTAAAAGCCTGATCTCCTCTTCTTGTTTCTACTTTATCTTCCAGTAAACATACAACAAGAAGCAGGCTGGAGGCAACCTACAATGCTTTGGCTGCAGGTTCAGATCAGAGAACATTTGATCAGCTGGAGGAAGAAGTGGAGGAAGAAGTGGGGAAAGAGGAGCTGACAAAAAAAGATGATCTCTCCCTCTGCCTCTCACCTTCTCCCGTTAAGGGCACCAATCAGGACTCAGAGCAGGATGGGTTATTTCAGAGAAACTCAGGCAGCCCCATGGAGGCTTCCCCAGCTGACCAAGCAACACAAACGGATGCTGTTCCTCAAATACAGGAAGGTTCACTCTCAAAGACGCCCTCAGTGCCGAGGAACAGGCGGCTTTACACTGTGGCACAACTGGTGGTTGAGCCGGACAGCCAGGGGAGCTCACAGTGCACAGCAGCTTCTCAGGAACTGGAGGTTGAGGTCAGAGCAGAAGAACCACAACAGTCACCAGCTATACCCAATAAAAATGACCTACAGAACCCAGTAACAGACAGTGAGGTTGCCATACCCACACGGAAACGCAGGTACAGTTTAAGACACCGTTTTTAGTCACTCTTAACAAAACAAAACAGGGCCTGTTACTGTATAGCTTCACAATTAGTCGGGATAATGGTTTTGACTGTAGTGGTGTTTCAAGATGTTTGCAGACAAGCAGTATTTTTGAGCTACTATCACATAAGGGCCAGAGGCCTTTCTGAGCATGCTACAAACTAGCAGTGTTTACGTCAAAGGTGTAACAGAGTACATCTACATGCAGTACAGAGCAAAAACTGAATTTTACAGGCACTATTTAGAAATGTTGGAAAACAGCAATTGGTTAGATTGTCAGTCTCAGATCACTTGAATGTAATGACATTTTCTGTATATTTTACTAACAGTATGTTTCGATATAGTGGAATATATAGACAGGTTTTACACCTCGTCTGGTTCTGGTCCTGTATTGCTCAGTGAGTGTATGGCACTGAAACTGCTTGTTTTGTCGCACAGAGCCGCAACTAGATTAGAGTTGTCTACAGACAGCGAGGAGGACTCCCATGACTCTGTGGCCAATGGGGAAACTTCTGTGACAGAACTCCATAACCAGTCCAACACATCTGTCACCAAGTAAGTCAAAATGTACAATATCACCACACATAGACTGCCATATATGTATTAATACCATACTATTTGGCCAGCCATGCTGAATTTGAATCTGGCAGAATAAAAAGTTCCAGAAAGAGGAATCCAACTAGGCACAAACCTAAACCCTTTGGCATCAAGTAGACATTTGTTAGCAGACCTGACAGACCTTTATCTGCTATATGGACACAACACTTCAAAGAACTAAGGTGTTGTGCCTGATTGGTAATATCAAAATGTTCATGGCTCACCACTGATAGCCAGTGAAGTTTCTCTTTTAAACTGACTGTAAGGTAAGTTTAAAATAGGTAGCTTAAATCATCAGTTTAAAACATGAATTTGACATGATTTTAGTCAAAACAGATGTCTCCTTTTCTGGATGGTCTTTGACTCAACTCTTGTCATGCAGGAAACCGGCAAAGCAGTTATCATCAGACAGTGAGGAAGACCCACAGGAGTCGGTAGCTCCCCACAAAACCCCAGTGCAGAAAACTCCGAAACAACAGACCAGCACTGGGACCAGCACTCGAACCAGCACTCGGACCAGCACTCGGACCAGCAAGCAAGTCCAAATACAACATTGATTTTATGCCACTATATTAGTTTATGATTCAAGGACTGACATTTAACAACCTTCATATATTTATGCAGGGATACAGGTAATACAGATGTCTGTATCACAGATTCTTCATTGGACAGCTCACCTGAGCTGTTCCCTCTTCACACTGTCCCTCGAACGAGCTCCACCCCTCGTAGGAGCTGTGCTCAAGGCAAAGCTTCTTCTACTTCAAAATGGTGAGTGAAGATCTACAGCTCTAGCTAAGAACGGATTAAGTTACCTGTTGTTGTTGTATTGTAGCAGGACATGCAACAAATAAATTAAAATAATTTATTACAATTCTGACATTTTTGGATAATTTGCTTTTTCAAAGTCACAAATTTGACGTGTCTAAAAGTCACACAAAAAGTACACATATATGTAATAACTGGAAAGAGATTTAATACTAGCTTCACTACAAACCACGCAAACGCTCACCAAAATACCATTTAGCATATTTAAACTACAGTTTTAGAATTATTGAAGATTGTTTGATTCATAACGGTAATTGATAAACAGCTGTGAAAAACAGGAAACTCTGCTCTTGTTTACAGGAAACAGCTGTACAAGAATGCAAAGGAGAGTAAGGAAACCTGGAGCGACGAAGAGTCGTGTGTCCACCCCAAAAAAAATAGCGGTAATATTGCAATACCTGCTTGTAATTAACAATGTGTAAATCTAGTTGTACAACTCTTGGTCATGCCATAATATATCTGTTTTTCTTAAAGATTCGCACAACGACAGCACTATGTCAACTTCAGGCAACAGAAGGAAAGTAAGTATAACAAGACTTATTTTATTAAATCAGTCGGCTACAGTGCCATGGTTAGCTAATGGTAATCATTGATGTGAAAAGGATAACATTGATTTGGCCGCTTCTTGCACTCACAAAAAGGTTGATGCTTTGCTGCCAGCCTGCAACTTCCAGATGTGATTGTTGTAGCAGCCAAAACACAAGCAGACTTCTCAATTTAGTCAGTCGCATTACCGGACAAACACTTACTTACTAACAAAGCATTGTCTGTTTTGGGCTGGCGTGTCACAGCATCAGAAAGCTGAATAACTTTATGTTCCTGTTGTGTTGCAGAAGTGGTCTGAGAGTGAGACGCAGAAGTTGAAAGACGGGGTCAAAAGGTTTGGAGAGGGCAACTGGAGTAAGATAAAGGCATATTACTCCTTCAAGGATCGAACAAATGTCAACCTTAAGGACAGATGGAGAACGCTGAAGAAGTCAAACATGGTGTGAGTAGAGGACATCACACCAAGAACTTTTCCACCTCGTTCCTCAGGAATTTTATTTTCAGAGTAAGTTGTACCTCGTTCAGGCCAATCCAGCCTTTTTCCTGTTTTGTCACTAAATCATGTTTTAAGCTATTGTATAGTTCATGGCACTTTCCAGTTCAATAAACTTTCACGGTTCAATTTGCAAGATTATTGGTTTGTATTAATATTAAAAGAAACCTACAATGGTGTGTGTGTGTGGTGCATCTCTGCAGCCCTATATACAGTAACAATCCTGCAAAGACTCTTATACAAAGACATTGTGGATTTATTTGAAAGATGACATTTACAAAAGAAAAACACAGAAAAGCATTCCCCTTCATTTGAACCAGATTTGACTCAAAGCCAGAGTGAAGGGGGTATCAGGAGTCTCTGTGACGAGGGAATCATACAGATGGCAGATTAGCTGTATCCCAAGGTGAGTCAATAGAGAAGTCTCTGTTTGAATCCCAAGACTGTGCACTGGAAATATGGGCCTGTTGTGACATCTGCTATTTAAAGGTGCCCTTGAACCTTAGATCCAACTACTTATCTGAGAGAGAACAGCAGCTGTTCTGGGTCTGAATTTGAGTGAATGTTGCTGGGTATGAAATGGATTAAGAAATGGGGCATTTGACAGTCCAGTTGCGGATGCATCTTTATGTTAACGTGTCTTCATTCCTAATGAACTCTCCCACATCGGCCTGGTGGAATACTACAATGGACAAGGGATCCACTCGCCGACATTCCTGGGTGGATTTGGCTGCCACACCGAAGCCCTGAGAAACAGCACACACGAGTGGTTCAGTGAACAAGGACGGAGAAGAAAAACAACTCAAGGCCACAAGAACAATTCTACCATCTCAGTGCAGAATAAGCGCTCGTGTGAAGCATATTAACGATTACATACGCATTATTTAGCACAAGTGGCCCCAGTGGGTATTCAAGCAATTGATGGTACACTGTGAGTATGTCCTAAACCATTTGAGCCACACTGCAACATAATTACAAAACTTACCAGGGGCACATCAGCCATGGAGTAGACGACGACTCCCTGGTACTGCACGGTGTTCTCAGTGATTCTCCCAAGCCCAGATTTTAACACGTGGTTCCCATAGAGGAAAGACTGCTCTGCTCCAGGTTTCACCCACACCTTAAACTGAAGACGTAACAGAAACCTTTCAAGTTATTTATACATGCAATGAGTACACCTAATATTATTGGCAGAGATGAAATGTTTTAAAACTAGGACATTAGCTGTTTTCCCATTATTGTTCACATATGGTACTGAAGCCGCTTTTTGGCTTCTGTCAGTCAATGTTAAATATTTCAAGAGTTTCTGGGTTTTAGTTACACCAAGCTGATTCTGGCTCACTGATGCACTTGAATTAAAGAGAACCATCATTTATGTTGCGACTACCACAAGACAACATGTCTGCTGGGGGGAAAAAAAAACCCTATCCTAAGTGGCATGCCATCTTTATGTGGCACACAGCAGAGGCCAGATGGCAATAGAGATCAATACAGGAGTGAAGAGTGGTGTCATATCCCTTTAGGTCAATATGCCCACTTTGATACATGTGTCACACCAGAGTACACTGCTCTTCCTGTAAGCTATCAGAGACTGGCAGATGATCCTGTGGTGCAGCTGTCACTTTACCGTGAGTTGTCACTAAATATCTGTATTGCCTCACTTCCTCTATGTCAGCACTGCACCCCCCACTCCCCTTTTAAAAGGATGCACCCACTCTCACCTTGGCGTACGGGGCCAGGAAATCCAGAGCTGTGATGTGCAGGCGGAACTTTGTGCTCTTTGTGAACTTTCCAAAACACGTTCCCACGGACACGAGCTTGTCCCGGGAAATGTTTGTCGCCAGCTTAAGGATTTTCTCACTGTGGGCCGAAAACGACATGACGTGAGTTTCTAGATGTAAAGAATGGAAAGACAACTAAACATGCATGTTCATATATATATGTGTGTGTATATTACCTCATGTAGTACACACGGTCATTGTGCAGCCTGAAACAGTAGGTACCGTCCGGTCGGTCCACTAGGAGCTTTATGTTCTCACCGATGCTGTTGTATGAGAGAAGACATGCATCACACACACACAGACAGACAGGCTAACACGGATGCTAAGGTGCTTGGTATCATTGAATCCTAACAGCGAGCACAATCTGCTTTGAGTCCACTTACTATTTCGACAGCTTCTCAAACATCGTTGTCGTCTCTTCCTCTGTTAGTGGTCTCATCCTGACTATTGAACTTTTCTCTCTCTATCTCTCTCTCTCCACGTCCACTCGTGTCTTCTGAGAGCGACGTGAAAACGTGGGTCAACACGGAAGCAGCGCCTGTGCAGCGGAAGTCTGGTGACGTCGGCAGCGCGCTGAGTTCCGGGTTGTTTTACGCTCTTTAGCTTCAGTCGGTCGCTCGTTTTCACTCCGACAAACCGGCTCCCGTCTGGTGAGTTTATTCACTTTAAACGACATTAACTGTTGGAAATAGCTTTACTGTGACGTTGGCGAACAGCTCCGCGGACGTTCACTCGTTTAACGCGTCGTTGTTGTTGAACACTGGAGGCACACTTTCGAAAACGGGCTCAGTTAGCCTGGTTAGCTAGCTGTCAGTGGAAAAAAACACTGAGCTGCTGCTGTTAGCCTGCGAGCTAACGTTAGCTCTGTTAGCAGCTGATAGCGCTAAGGCTGGTCCGCTGCAGGCAACGACCCCACTCTACTAATGCAGCTCCATTGAAATCAATTGAGAAACACCGGGACGCCGTCAGTAACTAACCGCGTTAAATCGCACCCAGTTGTGATTCTGAGCTCCGACCCGCCGTGTGAGAACCAGACTGTTTGTGCCGCAGCGGTGCGAAGTTACATAACCTCCACTTGTTTGTAAATACCGATTACCTTTCGCGTGATCAGAGGCAGAGTAACTAATCCCTTTCAACTGTCCTTAAGATTCAACATTTAGCACCTATCTCAGCCCCTTTCTGCCAGCTGGTGCTGTGATTCACCTGTATGTAACGACGGTGCACAGGAACAGTTCAGTGTCGCCGATGTGTAACGTCAGCCAGAGTTACAAAGTAGGAAATCTACCTTGTCAGCGAGCTCGGTGCATTTGGCAGATGATTTGATCCTCCTGTCTCCTCCTGTCTGACAGCAATAATGACTGTGGGAGCTGATCTTTTCTGATGCTGCCAAGTCGAGCTGTACACAGCAAATCCAGTTATAGTCACTTACAGGACACATTTCTGAAAAGTCTGATCCTGCTACTGCTCACTCACACTTTAAACGTTTGAGTTGGTTCATAAAAAATGAACTGCAGTGCTGTTTTCCTGATTAAAGTAGACGCTGGAGTTTGGGGAAATTCAGTGAATTGCCTCTTTCCTCCCAAAAACACAGCCTGTCTGCCGTGTACATTTCTCCTGGTGTTCTTATGGTGCCTTATGTTCCCATTAGCGTGTGTATGTACACTCCTCACCTGTGATACAGGATGTGAAGCAGTCATGCGATGTCAAATTCTAGGTACTGACAGCTATTTTCAGTCATGTCGTCATTGAAATACATTCACTTGTCTGCCTCCTTAATGGAGTAAGCCTCTAGATTATTTCAGCTCCAGGGAGATATTAAACGGGATACCTTATCAAGGCTGCCGTGTTAATAACAGCACGATGAACACTGAAGCATCTGCTGATGGGTGAACCGTGAAAGCCCGAGGTTATAGTCAAAGGCTTTCTGTTTATCTCAAGAGATGACCTACAAAAGGAGAAGTGAAACACGTTATTGATCCCTTCGGCAGACCTGTGTTTTATAGTAGGTGGCAGCTCAGGATCCCACACGCTGAAGTACAGTACAGTATTTGTACAATACTCCACAACAAATAAAATGCGTAACTTATTTGTCTCTTTCAGTTTCTCACATTGTACAGTTTAATACTGAAAGTGGACACACAGTCAGTGTTCTTTTGGAAATGGTAAAGGGGAACATGAAAGAGAAGTATTTTTTTATTCTTAGAGTTATACAACAATGTCCCAGCGTTTGACCTGATTAGCGGTGGGTCTCGTGCTATATACGTACTGTCATTAGTCTTGCCTGAGGAGAAACCTGCTTCAGTGAAGGCATGCTAGTCACAACCCTGGCTACTAAACTGTACCGCTGTAATAACACTTTTCACTAAGAGAAGGTGCCCACAAGCTGCTAATCCAAGTCTACGATTATTTGATACGGAAACAAAGTCTAGACGCGATAGATAACCTTATTGGTCCCTAATTTCTCATAGAGTATGTAACAGTGAAATAAATAGAGTTGGTTTTGTTTCTGTTGACAGGAGTGTGCTGCCCTGTGTTGGGAGAACAGTTCTCGTGCCAACGGTTTACCCAGGATAAGCCAGTGGTCTGCGCCTGTCATCAGTTTCCGGCGTGTGTTGTGTGTGTGGCTCTGCTAACACTGAACAGGAAGACACACGCAGAGAGAAGTCTGAACTAAGAGAGGAAACTTGTGGCTTCTTCATCAGCCTCAGAATGACTGAGTTCTGGGTTTGCTTCAGCTGCTGCATTGCAGAGCAGCCACAACCTGTGAGTATAAAATTAAAAGGCAAATTGATTGACTCAATGTTTTCACGCTGCCGCCCTGTTTAAAGTGGAGGCTGGTATGAGATGTGTTTTAGATAGACTATAGGTTAAGAACCAGAGCAGTACTCTCTGGTGTAATGCAGTGCGCTGGCCCATATATCTTCAACTTCAGTCGAGCTCTGAAAATAGTGAATGTTCCCTGTTCTTTGATAAAGTTTCGTTAAAAACACAGTGGTTGTATCGTACCTGAGAAAGTATACATTACATCCTCTTTCTTATAAATTTAAAAAAGAAAGTGGCAGGGCCTCCAGCTAACCACATCCCACTGTCTGACACTACATTTGCTTAGATTCAGCTTGGGTTTATTACTGTGGCATTTTATTTGTAAAGCACTTTTCATAAGAGAATCTCAAAGTGCTAACAACCAGCTGCTGTGCCTCATGGTAGTCAGCCAGTCTGCCTATTCACAGATGAGATAAAAGGGATCATGGATGTCGACCTCTGTCTCAGTTTTAGCTCCACAGCGCAGGTTTCAGCAGGTAAACAGCAGAGGAATGAGTAGGCTCTGTTTCAGCTGCTGTTTACCTGTTCACCA